CCCTACTCCTTTGAGCCACAGGTGCTGCCTGCATTTATATTTTTAAACCATAATTTGCATAAATAGGAAGTAGATGAGAGCCATCAAAAGTGCTCCCCAGAAGCCAGATGTCACCAATAGTCTCACATCGTGTGAATCTGTCTCTGTGACATCCAGAAAGAGGTAAATACAAAAATACTGTACATGGAGACAGAAAGCAGGTTGGTGGTTGCCCAGGTGTGGAGGGGGGGAGAGGAGGAAATGACCTTTTAATGAGTCTGGGGTCTCCGTCGGCGGTGATGAAGATGCTTTGGAACTAGACACAGTAGGAGTTACACAATTTCATGAAGGCACTAAGTTCTGCTCAATTGATCACTTCAAAATGCCGCATTTTTTTATTATGTGAATTTCACCTAACTTCAGGAAAAAAATTTTTTTGACATAGGGTCTTGCTCTGTCCCCCAGGCTGGAGTGCTGCGGTGTGATCACAGGTCACTGCAGCCTGGAACTCCCGGGCTCAAGAGATCTTCCTGGCTCAGCCCCTAGAGTAGCTGGGAGTATAGGCGTGTGCCACCATGCCTGGCTAATTTAATTTTTTTTTAGACACAGGGTCTCACTACGTTTTCCAGGCTAGTCTCAAACTCCTGGCCTCAAGTGATCCTACAGCCTCTCAAAGTCCTGGGATTGGAGATGTGAGCCACCAGGTCTGGCCAAATTATTTTTTAAGTGTTCCGTGATGACTTCTGAGTAAGGGATTAATGTGATTACTCCCCGCAAATGTGCACAGTTGAGGGTCTAACCGCTCCATCCCAGGGACCACAGGAATGAAATTCACAGCCATGTTGTTCCCAACAGCAAATAACTAGAAATAACCTGGTCCACCCAACGATGATGGGGTGGGGGTAAAGAAGGATGTGGATTTGCTTTCCTTTCTTCTGCTGTATTTTCTACCTTTATTTTATTTTATTTTATTTTTTTGCATAATGGTAATAAGCAGAGACTCAGCCCCGTGGCAGCCCTTCCTGGGAGCTGGGTGCTGCTCTGGACACACTCACCACTGCGATGCTGACGGCGTCCTCGTACTCCCTGGTGAGGACGCTCACCAAGGCGGAGCCCAGCAGCAGCAGGATCAGCGGGTTCTTAAACTGGAAGATGAAATACAGGGTGATGTGTTCTTTAGTTTCACAATGACCAGTCTGGGCTTCTCACTGCAGAAGCGAGTGTGATGCAGCCCTTAGTTCAAGATCGTGCCTCTGGGTCAGCCATGTAATGATCAGGACCACAACCATGCAGTGGTCCTTCTCTGCCTGCCTGTCCACTGCCGACAGCCCTCCCAAGAGTCATCCTGACACTCTCCCCATCAAGACACCAGCCTTGGCCCTGCCTTTGGGTTCTTGGCCTTGCCTCACCAAATCCCCACAATGCGCCAGGCTAGGGAAAATAGGGTCCCCGGCTGCAGAGGATAAAGCATCCCCCACAGCCCATGTCTCAGCCTCCTTCCTTGAACCACAACTTCCAGGAGCCCCTGCTGTCTCTTCCCAACACTGGGGTTCCAGGAAGGTGCTGGGCTGGCCAGAGCCACCCAGCCCGTCTTGGTGCCAAACGCATCAAGAGCTAACATCCTCAGCACGCTGAGCGCTGAGCAGGGTGGGAACCAAAAGGGTAAGGGAGCAGGAGGATGCTGCAAGGAGAACTGTGATTGGTCCCTGAACCGACCAATCCCAGAAGAATCAGACATGACGCCAGTAGGAAGATAGCTAAAGCTGGGGCAGCCCAGGAGCCAGAGAATAAGAGAGGATGCCAGGGATGGGATGGGGGCCAAAGGGGTGCCAACGGCCAGGGAGTTGGAATTGAGGCAACCTAAATCCCCTCAGTATCTGGAAAATTCTGCCTGTTAACTGGGCCTTTCTGAACCTGTCCCGGTTGGGTGGTGGGTGCCAACTTCTAGACTGGAGCTTGCAGCCATGTCCATTTCAATCTTTTTTCCTTCCTCTTCCTCAGGGCTTCTGGGCATTTCACTTCCTGCCACCAATTCAGCACGGGGCCAGCCCTGAGGGGCAGCCTCTAGGAAGGGCAGCGGCTCCAGTGCCAGCTCCCCAGATGTGCATCTCAGGACTGCTCTTCACAGCCGTTTGACTTGGAGCTCGGGTTGCAGATAAACTACAGGAGGCCCAGTTAAATTTGAATCTCAGATAAATAAGGAACTTCAAAAAATTAGCATAAGTATGTTCATTGCAATATTTGGTACATACATGTCTTAAAATTGCCTCTATCTGAAATTCAAATTTGAAAGGGCAGCCTGTATTTTAATTTGCTACACCTGGCAGCCCTACACACCCTGGGGAAATCTTCCAACCTCTCTGTACTTCACCCTCCTCATCTACAAAACAGGGATTAGCAGGAGGATTAAGCAGGTGAATGCTGATTTATCTACTCATTCATTTAGCCTGGTGCTTGGCATGTGGTAAACCTTCTATGAATGTAATCACTACCATTCACGACCATGGCTGCCTGGGGGGATAGTTATCTACTCCTGAGCACTCTTCCTGCTGGCTAAGAGCAGCCTGAAAGGGGAGCAGCCTGTCCAAGGACACCCACAATCAATATTTAAATAATAAATGCTTGCCCCACCCTCCCTGGCTTGTTCTGGTTAATGCAAAGAATGACACCTGTGGGCCTACCTGATCGAGGTATTTCTTCCATATAGGTTCGGTGGTGTCAGCAACAAACTCATTCCAGCCATGGACCAGCCTGCGCTGTGCTACTGAGAACTCTGACAGCCCCGTCTGTAAGTCCACCTGTGGGGAGACAGCCAAGCACAAGCTCATTGATGGG